ATGTCAGTTACAACCTAATAAAGCTGGCATAAGAAAATAAAAATGAAAAATAAAATAAAAACACAATTCTCCCACCCCCAACTTGCCCCATTCGGTGAGTGGCATCCCCACCACCTACGTTTAACTTCTCTCTCCCTCAGTGCCAGCATGTGATCCTTCAGCAGAATCTGCTGACGTTCCCTCTAAATCCGTCTACCTCAACCATTATCCCCACTGCCAGCAGTTTAACACAAGCCAAACCACTCATGGGTTTCCTACAGTGGTTAGAATCAAACACCAAGTTCTCACCATATCCTGCCCCAAGCCACTCTCCCTTCGGCCCTCAAGACCTGCAGCCACTGTAGCTGGCTTTCCATTCCTCCCACAGCCAAGGTCTTTTTCCTTTTAGGAACTACATACGTGGTCTTCCTTCTGCCTGGAACATTCTCTCATCAACCACCCCTTTATCTGGCTAATTCTAACTGATCCTTCACATCTCATTTTAAATGCCAATTCCTCAGGGGGCTGTCCCAGCCTGTAATCCTCACCAAACTTCTCAGTGGAAATCCCATCTCACTGTTAAACGGTCACAGGACTTATACTCCCCGCCGCCCCACCCCTGACCCCTGGCAGTGCCAGTGCCTCCCACACAGGTAGGGGCTGGAATGGGCCTCAGCATCTAGCACAGAACCTGCTAGCACCCAGCAACTGCCAGTAAGCACTCAGTGGAGCAGATGAGAATACAGCCAAAGTCCAATAATCCGCTGAAACATCCACATGTGTTTAATAACCAATAAGATGCTCTCAAAGTAGCTTTTCTTACTATGAGGGATACCCCCTACCCCCAAACTCTTCAGACACAAAAAGCCAAAGTTTCACCATGCCCTCTGAGCTTACTTGAAAATGCTCAATGCAGGCAAGCAGACACCCTGTCTGAAGCTCTCCCATCACGCTATATTTCATAAGTTTTCTGCCCTCTTTCAGTATTTAAGCAAGAACCACAAAAAAAAAAAAAAAAAGTACACTACCACAGTCTGGCAGGCCTTGCTCCTCGGGATACAGGCTGCTTTCTTATCCCATACCTCAACGCTCATTACACAATAAAACACACAAGACCAGAAAGGACTAGAAATTCACCCCAAGGTAAAATTCCACGACTTCAAAAGGAAGCCCCCAAGATAACATGGTTGGAACTTGTGAAGCCTCTTGCCATCTTGTAAGATACATACTATACCAAAATACCACCATTTTTGGTACAGAATCTTTTTCTGCTGGGTACAAAGGAAGTTAAATGAAAGTCTTTGTATAGCAAAGACAACCGGGGGTGGTGTCCAGGGAGCAGCTCCTAACCCTACAGCTTAGAGGCCGCTGGAGGTGAGTGGGCCAGGACTCAAGCACCACCACTTAGCACAACCGGCTGCTGGGCCCTCATGGGGGAAGTGGGGGGGGTGCAAAGAATTAAAAATATAAATTTTAAAACATCACTGGTTATGTGAATCAACAAATGGGCTTCCAGAGGCCAGGAAAAGGAGAGGGTGTAGGGAGGAAAGAAGGGGGGAGAGATGGATCTGTTGTATAAACTCCTATCTTTTTGGCTACCCCCCCCCAAAATATTTTTTTTTCCAAGACATCTTTGGGAAATCATCTTTCAGACATCTTCTCTGTTCTGACCACAGACTAGGAACCGCTGGATTATAATAAACGAGATGCAGTATTTGTGGTGCTTGCTTCTTAATTTATTATTTGATCAATTGAACTCTACTTGTTAAGAGTATTTATTCTACACATCTACTTTGTTACAATGTGGTAACCCGCTTAACCACATGAAAATAAAATCTAGATTAAAATATTCTGACAAAAAGCTTTAGTTTAAATTCCCATGTGAAAATCCTGCCCCAAATGGGTACTAGAGAAAGTTATTTTCCTAGCAACCGATGATAGTGATAGTCTCTAATGATTACTAACAAACACTGAACACTTCTCTAGTTTCAAAAGAAAACATTAGAAATAATTATGAAATAACTTGGCCCAGAAATTACAATAAACCCAAATTTCGGAGAAATTAGGAAGCAATCCTTAGACAATTATTTTGAAACACGTCTGATGAAACAATGTGATGTGACAACAGTTTTCTTTAAAAGAATGAAGAACAAAATGAGAGGAAGAGCCCAGGGTCTGGAGAAGAGTTAGCCATTCGTCAGCAGAGCTGAACACAACCCAGACTCTTTGGGTCAATGCTGAGTGGTACACAGACCCAAATGATACATCAGCCATAATCCAGAACGTGCCCTATATCAACACAGACACACTGTGCCTGCCAAACTGATTTTAGTTGACATACTGCCCTAGGTCCAGTGAAAAGGGGATCATCCGTTTACAGTCCCCAGGTGTAGGACTCCTCTACTCCAAAAGCTGTATGAGACTACTGGATGGATGCAGAGGTCAGCAACCACAGACTTTCTTCTCCAGACCTGCCTGTCTCCCTCTACCAACCCCTCCCACTCCAGCACTTCCTCCTCACCCCTTAGTGTCAGGTGAAGATTGCAGAAATGCAATTATGATGCTAATCCATATAACCAAAGACACCATTCAGTTGCTACAGCATTAAATATATCACAGATTTGGTTTCCTTTTCTCCCAGCTGAAGGTCTTTTCTGCTCTATGCAGCTCCCAGAGCCCACCTTCCCTCCAGTGCCCCAAACCTCTAGGCAATGGTCATTCATTCCCCAGGCCCCCAGGAGCACAGCAAAGAGCACTAACGTTGCACTTGCCACTGTGGCTCCTTGGGACTCCATCTGAAGTGTGGTGTGTGCTCAATGTGGTGGCTGTGCAAAACACAGCAGAGGATAAAGGAACCCAAGTCTCCTTGGGCTCCCCTTGCCAAAATCCACACTGGCTCTGGATACAAGGTCTCTCCATATCCTCAGAGTGTTCACTTCTAAATATGAAAATAAGTACTTAGGGCCTATACTGTGACAACCGGTCCCACAGGCTCTCTGGGGAGGCAGCATCAAGGAGCGCTCTAGAAATGGATTTGCCTCACTCTCACCCTTGGGTGATGGTCATCAGTGTGGACCCATGGTGTCCACTCACACCCACAAGGGGCTATGTCCAGTCCGAGCCACTTCTAAGCACGATACCTTCTCTCCACTCAAAGAGGAAAATAGCCTCCAAGAGATTTTAAAGATAATGTCCTTTCTCTGTAGCTTAAAAAAGGGGGGGGGATGGGGGAGCAGCCCTGCCAAGCATTTCAAAAAGCAGAGAAATAAATGTCAAAGCCTAGACACACAATGAGAAATTCAGGGAGGCAGGAAAAGTGGAAAGGACATGCTTCTGTGTTTTACCCTCCTCTAGGACGCTGAAACTCTCCCACTTTTAAAAATCTTTGTATATCGCTAAAATGTTTTTTATATGGCATTCACTTTTCTCCAAGGAACCTGCATCAGAACCCCAGGACAGCAACATCCTTACACCTATGACACTGTCCCTGATTATGACCCAATTTGTAGTTTACAGAACAGAACCAGCCACAGAAAAGTTACTTTCTACTCCCTTCGTAAAGAACATGCCACGAGGCCCCGGAAAAGGAGCTGAGAACTGAGTCCAGTCCTCGCTCTGGCCACTAACTCAGCGTGTGACATTGGGCAATTCACTTAGGGCATCTCTGGGCCTGTTTCCTTTTCTGAGAGCAGGTTGGGCCGAGATGATCTAAGGTTACTTCCAGCCCTGAAATCTTGACACTAGAGGAGTATGTGTAATCATGAGCATCCAAGTCACTGCAGGGTTGGAGGAAGGAGGAAGCTTCTGGGAAAATATCAACCTTTCTATGTGCCTCATTTGTAACATAAGAATTTGTAGAACATTTTCACAAACGATGACTCAAGATGTGGCCTAACGGGAATAAATCACTTTGTAATATGTACAACACACATATACACATATATTTAATATTCATATAACAGAGGCATAATTCATTAAGTAATATATACTCAATTATAGCAAGCTACAAAGTAAGGAGGCAGTTAGCCTGAAATTTGACACAATGCATCTTAAGATTTTTCCACTTAAGAAAATCATTTTGCCATTTTTAGACATTACAACTAACATAGAGGCAAAATATATTAATGGATAACATTTTATGGTACTTAAATAAAAAATACATGAATTATTTCAAGCTTTGCATAATTCTACCTGTCATAGATTCATTATAAAAATGAGTCTTCCATTAATTATTTCAAAAGTATGAAGTCCAGCTCATGACACAAATATATGGAAGAGAATATTCTAATAAGGCTGAGCCATCTTCTCGAGAGGTTAATTTATAAATTCCACTGTCAGAGCCTACAAAATCCAGAAGTACATTAAAAATATGTCTACATATATTTTTTATAACACTTTATGTTATAATCTCTCACTGCTAAAAACAAATGTTAAACCCACAGGCTCTCAAAGCCAGGGATGTACAGATCATTTAACTTAAGCCTTTCCAAACTCAGTTCTACTCTGTTCACAATCAATCAGCCCAGATAAAATTGTGCTGATGTTAATGGAGAATGTTACTTTCCAACAATTAAAATAAATTGGGGGATGCAGGGGATTGTAAAGTCTCAAATTCAGTGCTTCCCCTTTGAATTTTCTAATTCCCTCCTCTGTAACTCACCTCTACTAAAATGAGTTTTTCAGAAAATGATCTGGGGGTTGTGTTTTTTTTAAGTGGCTTTGGCACCAGTCTCCCCACTAATGGTGATAGTGCACCATTATGGAGACCACAAGACTAGACCAACCCAACACAAACAGGAAGGCGTGGTGAGAAGATCTAGAAAATTTCCAGGTGGGTAACCATCACTAAGGTCCAGTAACAGAAAACAGATACCTTTTAGATATAAACCATATCCAAGAATAATCCAAAAATACCTATTTTTTAAAGAGAAAAACAGATAAGCAAGTCCTGTTATCAACAAAAGAATATTTCTTCATCTCCTCCCAATAAAGGAAGCAACTGCCTTTGCCAGGTCACTTACAACAATGTGTGCCGGTGACGGAGAGCGGGCATCCTTGAGGGCTTGTCTACTCTGGAGGGTCCCCGCCTGGACGTCAAGCAGTGGCCATTTCATTTGGAGATACTGGAGGGAGAAAACAGAACGAACATGGCAAATGAATTGAGGTTTCTTTACCCAAAACTGCTATCCCAAGACATAACTCCTGGGGTGCCTGATACACAGATGAGAAACTAAAAGGAGTAAAGACATGCAAATAACAACACTGAAAAACTGAAAAGCATGCAAACAACAACATCAACAGAAAAATCATGCCATCCCAATCAATAGGTTATTCCCGAGAGCTCAGGTTCAACAGGCACATTTCTAGAACATCAACACGACTAGCAGCTATAATTTGGTCTTTGCGTTCCAATGTCAGGCTGGCCCTGATAACATGATCTCATTAATCCTGCCTCACTGAGAGGGAGACAACAGGGACACAAGGAGACAACACAGGCCTTCCAAAGGAAGAAAGCAAATGGGAGTCTCAAGCCAGAGGCATCTAGGGGACCATAAACTCCAGATCTGCTCTTTCAGTGACCTTCATTTCTAAAATGCCATCATCCTTCACTTTAAAGCTGAGTATATATGCGCAACTATCCTTTAGTAGAAACTACTCAAGTAGGTGAGGATGGAACTCCTCAAAACCAACCCAAAAGCTTATAAAACAAAAATACTTCTCAGGGCACCTGGGTGGCTCAGTTGGTTAAGCATCAGATTCTTAGGTTTTGGCTCAGGTCATGGTCTCAGGGTCTTGAAATCAAGCCCCACTGAGATCAAGCCCCACATCAGGCTCCACACTCAGCAGAGAGTCTGCTGAGATTCTCTCTCTGCCCCTGCCCCTTCCTCCACTCACTCACTCTCTCAAATAAATCTTTGAAAACAAAAAGTACTTCTCAGTAAAAGATGTACAAACAGGGCACAGTGCAATTTATACGCTCATCTCAAAAGACCTGAGAAATTCTTTTTTTTTTTTTTAAGATTTTATTTATTTATTCATGACAGCCACGGGGGGGGGGGGGGCAGACAGAGGGAGAAGCAGGCTCCTCACAGGGAACCTAATGTGGGACTAGATCCCTGGACTCCAGGATCACACCCTGAGCTAAATAAAGGCAGACACTCAACCACTCCACCACTAAGCCACCCAGGAGTCCCAGAAATTCTTTTTTTTTTTTTTTATGATAGTCACAGAGAGAGAGAGAGAGAGAGAGAGAGAGAGAGAGAGAGAGGCAGAGGGAGAAGCAGGCTCCACGCACCGGGAGCCCGACCTGGGACTGGATCCCGGATCTCCAGGATCGCGCCCTGGGCCAAAGGCAGGCGCCAAACCGCTGCGCCACCCAGGGATCCCCCCAGAAATTCTTAAATACACACAAGTTTACCACATAAATTAAGTTAAAGGTATAAGTCAATGACATCTATCTCTGCTCTTCACTGAGGTGGAAAATACATGGCACAAGGGAAAGAGAGTTACTTCTGTCATAAGTGATAGTTCAGCTTTCAGAAGGACCAGATCAACTGATCCAACTCCTCACTGTACAAACAAGGAAAAGTGAGGTGAGGTGGCTTGCCCAGTCAGAGATACTTAGCATATGTGCAAGCAACTCCAAGGCACTTGACTTTGGTGGGTGACATCACGCCAGTTTTACTCGGGAAACCTTCAGACCACTGAGCAAAACTGAAGACACAATGCTAAGTCATTTAATAAGGACTTTGCCAGCCTTTGTATCTCTGAAGGCCACTGTTTAATGCATCAATTAATGCTTGGAGGGAATAGAAGGGGCCATCTTGATCTTTTCAGAGATTCCCAAAGTAAAATAAATGGCTAGTTTTCATATAAATTGTACAGGAAATTTGACTCAATGAATATTGATTAAACTTTTTGTACATCACCTTCCCGTGAAGGATTAAGGACACGGGAAGATTGTCTGCCCTCAGAGAGTTTATGTGCATGTGAGGGAACGAACTCACGCTCAGATTAAGTCCAGACAGAACATAGTGGAAATGTGGCAGAGACTCAGGGAATCATGCCTAGGGAATGCCAAGAAGCAAGACAGTATTTCTGAGAAAAGAGACTGGAGAAGACTGCACAGAGTAGGTCTTGTTAAGCCAGAAAGATTTCGTCAGAAAGAAAAAGGACACTGGGGGGCAGGGAGGAGTGGCAGTCCAGATAGAAGCTGAGGGGGAGGGGCAGTCCAGAAAGAAGGATTTGGGGTTGACTCAAATCCCACGTGAAATGAAGGGCGAAAGCCACACACAAGCTTTCCCATAGGTTCCTTAAAGATACAATTGTCCAGTGAATTAAAACCAAATGCAGTTACATCTAAAACTGGAAGACCCTGGCCCACAAGCTACCTGCCAAAGCTCACAGTCATTTTCTCGACCTATATCTGTACAAGGTTAGAGCACTTCTACAACCTCAGAGCTGTTACCCAGAAGGCCCTTCTGTGAGGGAACCCAGTTACTAGTTCTGGTGACTCGCCACAATACCTCGCATCAAATCCCTTTGCTTCTACGGACCTCCAGTTTTTCATCAGTCAACTGAAGGGGTTGTCCTATCTGGCACAAGGGTGATGGAGGGGCTGCCCCAGCACTTAAGGATTCTAGACTCCCAGACAGTAAATACCAGCAGGCACCCGACCCCCCACCTCTATCACCCTTATAATCAAGCCATTCCCAATTATCTTCTCTGGGGGCAGTAACATCGCAAGTTGAGAACCACTGTAGTAAATGTCTCCGTGGTCTCCCTCAGCCTATATATAACCCAAGCCAGTGGACCATGGGAACCTCTTCCATCCCATCTCACCTTGACTGCTTCCCATTCTCACCTGCCACATAAATATATGAGCCTCATTGGTCAAAACCACTCAATAGCATCATTTCCTTGAGGCCAACCAAAATGGACACCTGCCAATACTCATCTCTCCTCTCATAAAAACCTGTGAGGAAAAATGCCAAGCTGAGTGCCACACACTTATGCCTCAGTGGGCAGGGTTAGATTAACAGACAAGTTTTCATCTTCGGCCATCTGCAAAACTGATTTGATCACATCCAAATCCCAGCTCCATAGAATTCGGAAATTTAGGCTTTGCTTAAGGTGACAGACCTGCCCCAAGGACCCCACCAGAGAACTGTCATACCCATAATGCAATATTAATGCAGAGTCTTATAATTCTTATTTTACATAAAAGCTTCATTGTGTGCCATATCCAATCTCCGCAGGCTACCTGCACCACATATTTTTATGAGCCTACATTTCAGCGCTCCAAGCCTACAATACACATAATTTTCAATTATGTTAGGGCAGCCCAGGATCACTGCCTATATAACATTACTGGTTGGAGGAAATGAGACTCGGCCCCACTGCCCAGAGAGAGCTAACCAAATCCAGATGGTGGAGGAAGACAGCCCCAATCCTGCTGGCTTGCAAGGACTCCGCGGTGACAGCCTCAACCTCTCCATCCCAGTGCAACATGATCCCACAGAATGGCTGGGCCCCCGCAAATCTGTGCCCGTCCCTTGGAAATAACTGGCATTCAGGCCGACGAGGTTCCTTCTGGGGAAATAAGTATTATGTCAGGATTTTTTAAAGGAAGTTATTAACCTCCTCCAAAAGTGATGGGTTTCCCAGGTTCCTTCATCTTCCACAATTGGTCCTTATTAATAAGGAAAATAAATAAATAAAGGGAAGAAAAAGGAAATTAGGTACGATTATAGCCTAGAGGAAAATCTTTTCCTTCCTGGAGACACTAGGCAGCGGGAAATTCTCTTCTGTTGGGTCCTAAAGGAAGACCCGAAGGAGGAGGCATCTAGGTTTTACAAAAGGGCTGGAACGCAACGCCACGCCACATTTTCCCCCTGGTCCAACTTCAGTTTTATATCCTTTTGGGGAAGAAAAAAAAAAGTTCCCACCATCCCACTATAAAAACAACACTGGGCTCCAGCTCTCTTCCTTTCGAGCCGCTCAACGTGGAAATTATGAATTGCCTACAAAAACATTAAACTTTTCAGCAAACTGCAATCAAACGGGGCCATGGGAATTCCTGCATTGAAAACTGTTGAAATGGAGTCCTGCTCAACTTGCATTTTGCAAAAAAATAAAAAATAATAAATATATAAGGCCATCTTGGCTTAAGTGTTTCATCCTTTGTTTAATACTAATGTTCTGCTCATGGCCCATTACGGTTTTTCCCCAAATCATATTTTATGATATGTCTTAGGGAGCTTAAGTTAAGCTTCAGACCTGTGGACAAAGTCTCAAAATATATACAAAGCCAACGGTCTGAATGGAATCAGGGAACTTTAAAAGCCTGTTAAATTGTCAGCAAAAAAAAGGAAAAAGGTATGTAACTCTAACTTCTCCTCCCCCTCTGCCCCCAATGAAAAGAAGGACAAGGAAAGGCAAACCGGTGTAGGGATCTTCCGAATCAGAAGACGCTCGCAGGATCCAGGTTCAAGTGGGCCTGAGGAAACCTACTCCCAACCAAGGCACCCCATCCTCATGACACCAGCTTCAGGAGCAAGGATGGTGAGGAGAGGCCGCTCTGAGAACGTGCATCTGAGGCCTGCTGAAGCCTTGTTACAAAACTTAATATTCTAAACAAACAGGCCAACTCAAAGGCCAACAATGATATCGATGACAAAGTTCCCAGGAAACTCCACATTGCTGATAAAATACCAAGCAGCTTGGCGGCACTTCCTGTCAGTCAGGCCATCTCACAGATGGAGAGGCGAGTGGAGTCCATCCCTTTACGTGCTCAGGACAGGGTTGGCAAATTTCTGTAAAACGCCAGAGTACATACCTTAGGCTTTGCAACCCATACCATTTCATCCTAACAGCTCTGTCGTGGTAACCCAGAAGCAGTCATGAGCAACACGTGTACCTATTATGTCATAGCTGTGTTCCAATAAAACTTTATTTATCGATACTGATATATGGATTCCATAGGCCATTCCTGTGTCAGGAAATCTTCTGCTTGTTTTTTTTTTTTTTCAACAGTTTAAAAATAAAAACCATTTTTAGCTCACAGGCCATACAAAAAGAGGTGGCAGGACAGCTTTGGCCTCTGGGCCATCGTTTGCCACTC